CAAATTTTGACATATTTCATTTGAAGGTCCGCAATACCTTTTTAAAATATTTGCAATCGTCAATAGTCAGACTCAGCCTATACTTCATCCTACGAACTTACATATATTGGTATCAATTGACATCAAATGTTTATTTTTGAACAACTGATACCCAGAAAGATTTCTTATATACAATTTATGTAATTTTTTAGATAATATTTATTTATAGAATGATTCTCCATTAAATAGGTACTTGCATTAATTTTGGTTTGGCAACGATGCAGTCATAGAGTCATTTTCGCACTTCTTCAACTTTGCGGAACGGCATGCTAGCCAAGCCGTGCCGCATCGATCTGAACAAGTGTAACATGTCTTTTTTGCAGCAATACATCGCTTCATTTGTTCATTTGACGTCGGTCTGTATTAATAGTCTCGGTCGGTCTTAGCACCTCGTAATACACAACATCTTGTTGATACCACCATACGCACAGCAAAATTTTATGGCCATGGTGTCGATGTGCATGGTTCTCTTGGATAAACCCATTACTTTTTATGCTTCGCATTGCCATAGTAGATCTACTTTTCATCGCCATTCACAAGACGCCAAAAAAACACTTCATTCTTTTGCCGGGCAAGCAATGAAACCGTATATTGAAATGCTATTTTCAGGTAATTCGCATGGTCTAGAAACTGTTGATTTATTGATAGCTAAGCTCTCTTGCAAATCAGAGTCTTCGAACTTGTTTGGTCCTCCAGTCTGTTCTTTGTCATTGATCGCTTTTAAACCGGTAAAACCAAAAAACGACACTTGAGATACGATGGAGCAGCATCATCATGAAAAGTGTTTAAGGGCTTCGGCAGCAATCAAGCAAAAGTGATGACTGTTGAAAATGCAATTTTGAGTTTTCCACGATTAGTGTCTATGAATAACTTCATAATCTTAAATCTAAAACTGTTATGCGAAGAGAAAGGTTAAAAATCATCGATTTTAACAGTCGCGTATATTGATTGCTTTATTAAAATAAATATATATAATAGGTGCTTGGATGTATTTTGATCAGCGACATTTATTGGTGGAAATGGCAATATAATACGAAGTATAAACAGTTAAATATGTATTATATGCACTCATTTATATCAGTATCAATTAATCTTAAGCGGTTAGCTTTGAAATGTTCCCTATTGGTCAACTAATAGACCGACATTTAAAAATACATATTGTGCCAAGCCTTTATGGTAATGAAAGGTTGAAAGGACTACAACTTTTTTAAAGACTTCTAAATATTAAAGCTTTTACTATACTAAAAAAAAAAAAGAAGGAAAATAGCGGAGAGATATTTAAGATATCATTTCTACAAATCTTATTGAAACCATTCTCTCTTCAGTTTCGTTTCTACGCACGCATTAGCCATTTAATTCTATTTCAGATTTTGAAAAAGACTCGAAACGTGCTTACCATTAGTAATTGTTCGTAATACGAAGCATTCATTATTTTGACATTAAGACCGGAATAAATGCTTTCTTGTCTGCGCAAATGAGGCATTTTAAAGGTAATATTGTAATTAATAGCGTTGTATATTTAAGTAGAGATATTCGACAATTTGCTGAACCGAGTCAATTTGTTTAATTAAAATAAAAAAAAAGGAAAGAAAATGAAAATATTTGAATAAAGAGAGTATCGCTGACGCACTGTTAAAGAATTTTTTATTTGTAATTCAAAAGACCATTACTGGCAAAAGCCAAGCATGGAAACAAAAAAGCATTAGTTTGACTATTATGCAAAAGGTGACAGATAATTGCAATTATTAATGGGAACTGTACAAATGTATTACATTTACAACAAAGCGCTTAATAATAAGCCGCTCTACACTTTTCTACGAACCCTACAATATGCGTTTGTAAAATTGACTTAAAAGTAAATAAACGAAAAGAGATAAAATAAAACAAGTAAGAAAAGTATACTCGATCATGACCGAATCTTTTATACCCATCGCCGCTATCCGAAAAAACACAAACAAAGTATTGAAAGATAGAAAGGTATTGGAAAAATATTAAATTTTTCCCCCTTTTGCGTAAGTACTACAGCATCACCCATAGAATATATGTTGAAATTTTTGCACATTTATCTGCTTCAGCGTATAAGTAATGTGCAAAAAACCAACATTCTATTCCTTTGGAAAACAAAGGTGTCTCCATTTTATGTGGTGCCGTAGACTCGCCCTTTGGCCGATTTCGCCTATTTTCAATAACAATCGGCGCGCAAGAACTTCCAATGTGGATAGCTTTATGTTTGCAGTCAGGACATAACACAAACGTTACAAACGCTTTGACAAAATGAATATACCTCTCATCGCTCGGTGATGGTTGTAAAAGATGTATCACTTAAGTACAATCATAAAATGTTAATATTTTTGACAAGAAAATTGCGAAATCATATGAGATAAAAATTCATCAAAGCTACGGACAAAATTATACGAAAGTGAAAGCTAACTAAAAACCAAAAGCTAACAAACACGTTCGTTAGAACTAAAAGGTTTTCATGAATTTGTATGATGCATATTTTTCTCATTTTTCATGCAAGCGTGATAAGTGCATTACATAAAGAGCGTTCACAAAAGGTCTTTTAAACGAAAGTTATGAGCCCAATTTTCTAAAACGAATATAACTTTTCCAATAGCTACGTAATAGTTTTAATTCTGAGCGGAAAGCATAAAACTTTTTCGATATTGTCTCGAATAATAAATTGTATTTATATTTAGTTCATATACGTTGAAATGAAAGTAGGTTAGTGTTCTGTATGCCTGCTATTGAATTTTTGAGCTGAAATTTTGATGAAAATTTAAAAAAAGTCGACTTAACCCTCAATGGATTTGTGGCACCTTATAAACGGTGCAGAAGTTTTACTTACGTTTAACGCTAAAACTAAAACTTCATAAGTTCAACTCATAAACCTTTTCAACTGCATTTTTCTTTAGGTCCTAATTGTTTCTTGTAAATGTGTACATGTATATCTATGTCTATGTATGACTTAGGATTTCACCATCATATACCATATACGCACTGCTTGCTAAACTCTGGAAGTAAGAAAAGCTCCACACTGCTTATGTGACTGCATCGGTCTGTTAAGCATTAAATTAGTATTGATTTTAGCGCTTTGTGTAGAAAGACGAAACTTTAACAATATGCGGCGCTGAGAGGATTAATAAAGTCTTTCAATTGCTGAAAAAGAACACGTCGTTGCAATTAATAAGTAATTACCTTTCATGATATAAACTATTTATCTCATTAAGGAAACTTTTCTCTTTCACAGTTTCAACGATATAAACAGACATTAATTGGTTACTTAATTATTTACGTTTTCTCGCAAGCGATAAAGTCCACGTTAAAGTCCAGTCTGCAAAGCGATAGTTTTATATTAATTAAATATAATATTGTGTTCGCAGTTTCGATTACAGCGTCAAACGCGCTACGACGTGTCCTTATGTCCTAATAAGCCCTAGGAGAATTTTGATTTTTAATATTAATAAAATAAGGGATAAGTTTATAATTAAAGTCCGGACAACTATTTGCGAACGACACCAAATGAATACGATAATTAAACATTTTTGTATTGTCTTTGATAGCAACATTTTCTGCATTTACGTATATACGCGCTTGTATTAGTTTGGGGAAAAAGAAATCCATTATTTTTTCGGTAGATGGCTGCACTGATAGATTTCTCGTAAAGTATCGCTCAAACAATTTCAGTTTTATGCTCGTTGGAAAGGTGACATTTCGCAGTAAAAAAAATTCTTTTGCTGTTTTTTGTTTGGTGCATTCAGTTGTGAGTTACAGCGTGTTAAATATGGAAGTGAACAAAGAGAAAATTCGGTACATTTTACAGTCTTTCTTTGACAAAGGCGAAAATGCAAGCCAGGCGGCTAAAATTGTGAATGTTGTTTATGGTTCCGATACTGTAACAGCCACTTATGTGCAATTTTGGTTTCGTAGATTGCGTTCAGGAAGTTGACAGGCATGTTAGCAATCGTAACATCGCCCAGGAGCTAAAAATCGACCATAAAACAGTTTTAAACCATTCACACAAAGCTGGATTCAAAAAGAAGCTCGATGTTTGGGTGCCACACCAATTAACAGAAAAAAACATGATGGATCGAATTTCCAAGTGCGAAGCCTTGGCCAAACGGAATGAGATAGACCCATTTCTTAAACGGATGGTGACTGGAGATGAGAAATGGATCACATACGATAACCCTGTGCGAAAACGATCGCGGTCAAAGAGCGGTGAAGCACCTCAAACGGCTAGGAAGGTTTTGCTATGCATTTGGTGGGACTGGAAGGGGATTATTTATTATGAGTTGCTTCAATATGGCCAAACGCTACATTCTGATTACTACTGTCAACAACTGGACCGTTTGAAGATAGCGATTCACCAGAAACGGCCAGAATTGGCCAACAGGAGAGGTGTCGTGTTCCACCAGGACAACGCTAGGCCACACACATCTACAGTGACTCGCCAGAAACTTTGGGAGCTTGGTTGGGAAGTTTTAATGCATCCGCCATACAGTCCGGACTTGGCACCAAGCGATTATCATCTTTTTCTTGCATTGCAAAATTTCTTTAATGATAAAAAATTGGAATCTAGGGAGGATTGTGAAAATCGACTAGTAGAGTTTTTTGCAAATAGAGACCAGGACTTCTATGAGAGAGGCATTTTGAAGTTACCTTTAAAATGGCAACAAATCATACAACAAAACGGTGCATATTTGACCGCAAATCGCACAATCCGAAGCATGTTAAATAAAGTCCTGAAGTTCATATAAAAATAATGGATTTCTTTTTCCCCACACTAATATTTTAGTTTTTTGATTTTTCATTAAAATTATTGATGAATATTTTTCCGATATGTTCTGCGTTATATGAAATCTCATCACTGCTACGATGAACTTGTTTCATGTAAACTAAAACGTAATTCTCATTATATATATTTTTTTTAAATAATTGCTTTTAATTATTTTACTTACCGATCAACTGCAATCGCCACCAAATGCAATATGGAAGCTGTGCAACATAATACATCACACGAAGTCCAAATGTCACAAAGTTCCGGTCCCAATATCCAACCCTGGCTTATCTGTATCCAATATTTATATCATTTTGTTCAATTAAAGAAAAATGCGGAAAAATAAAAACAAAAAGAAATAAAGGAGAAAATATGAAATGTTTAATTTGTCCTCATCAAACGGCAAAAATGCAAAACTTTTTAAGGCGTAATAATATCAATAAACAATATTATCGAAATTATTATCCTACATGGACGTAAAGTTTTCTGTAAAGAGCGACAAACATATCTACCAATGACAATTTTTAATTAACAGAAGTTTACAGAATATTAATTAACGTTATGAAACGAATCTGCTGTGGTAAATGTATGATGAGCTTTAAGAAGGGCGACTTTTCAAAAAGAGAAAGAAGTAAAACAATTGTAGCCGCTGTGCGCCAAAGTTTGTGTTCCCCTTCACGTGAAGCTAATAAAAACAAAAAATAACAAAAATTTTATTCACTTGGGAGAAAGGTCTTACATATCTAGAACCAAGTGAAAATTAAAAATTCTTCGATTTTTAGATGATGCTGATAAGACTTGAGACCTGCAATAAACATCCAGTTATTGAGCCATTGCATGAAAATCGCCCGTGCAAGTAGAATTAAATGGCTTTGTTTTTACGACTTTTTTTACAGCACATATAGGTCTCATAACGGTTTTGTGAAGTATTTCTGGGCTGCGGACTATATTCTTTCAGTCTTATATTTAAAATCTGTGTAAGTCTTTCGGAACCGCAGACGTCCTAACTAACGTACCACCCTCGTTGGGCAACAAAATTTAGTTTGCATAAATATATACATGTATAATATATGTATATATACATACTTACACGCAATATATGCATTCATATATATATATATATATATATATATGGTGTTGCAGTGTAAAATGTCTCTTGCAAATTTACGTTTTTATGCAATTGCTTTTAAAATTAAGTTCGTGTCACTGAATTATAATTTTTTGGATAGCATAGGTTTCATTTACAGCTGCTTGAAGGTCTGCGTATAAATTCTTTACAGGACGTACATTTATAATGTTTTAATGCTTCTACTAGTCCCGTCCCTTCGAATATTACAATCCAAATGGCTTTGCCTTCGGGAAATGTTCTGCATATGTACTCTTTTAGGAGCAAGTTAGCAATGCCTTACTCCATTGTGACAATTTTTGTGTTAATCGCTTTGTCTTAAAATGTTTAGCAGCGTAGGCAGATAAAGCACCAGGAACGTGAACTTAGTTTTACTATTTTTAGATTTTGGTTTCTTAGAAAATCGACTAGTTTTCATGCAGAGCTCTTTTCATCACATGCGAGTTTTCGCACCAGTGTATTAAAATTGTGACGCTTTTTCAGCCGCCGCACCTACAAACAAAGATGTGTAACATCTAATAATAATAAGCAAAAAAGCCTTGCAAACTATTGACTTTCTTGATCATTATAAAACCTTAAACTGACTGTTGTTGTTCCGTCCCTCTATGCACTGTTTAATGTACACTTGCTTTCATAGGAATTAAGATCAACACTTGAAATGTTACTGATTTGCTTTTTGGTTGTTGTAAGCTATTTAAAAATATATATTATGTATATATAGGTATACGTATATTTTTGTGTTTGTGTATACATATACACGTATATATATATATACTTATATGAAGTGTTACCATTAATCTTGATCAACGAAGAGTGATACGCGATAAAAGCGATAAAGTAATGCGAAATGCCAGTGTGTATAACGATTAAATTTGATGGTTTTGACGTTTCTCTGCATACAATAGCAGCCTTCCGTTTAGTATCATTCAACATTAATTGTTTTAGTTGCTTGATTTAAAGAAATTTGCTAACGAAACCAATCAAAAACTTTTAGCATCTTATAGTGACGCTGCTCCATCATATCCCAATTGACGGTTTCGACTTTAAAAAATCCTTGCCGCGTATTGTGACTGGCGATGAAAAGTGTGCCTATTGCGACAATTCCAAGCGCGAGAAGTCATTGGTTAGTAGTCCAAAAGCGTCATCCACGTTGATATCGAAGCAGAATATTCATGTCCGTAAAGTTTTTCTGTGCATGTCGTTAATTGAACAATAGCGCTCGGCCACTGGTTTCAAGAGTACACTTTTGCCGCTGCAATAAGAAGTTCTGCCGCATGGATTGGCTGGATTCGAGCGGGGTAGAAAGTCTCAGGAAGTGCGAAAATGGATCCATGAATGATGGATAATATCTTGATGAGTATATATTGTACCAGCTTTTCTCAATTAATTTTTCAAGTGAAAAAATTATCACAATTAATGCAATCACCTTTTATATAAGCTCATGTAGGTACAGATTTACGCACACATATATATGTATATAGATATATATATATAAAATAATACATTTGTGTATATATATATATATATATATATATGTCTACACTGCTATAAGCCTAACTAAGTGTATATCACATATAGGCGTAAATAACTTTCGACGCAGATCCTTGCGGTTTGCGAACAAAATTTGAATGAAGTCTGTCCTAAAAATGCATTGATAAAGGGCAGTTTTTCAACAGCAAACATCATTTTCAATCAATCGCCCAAGAAAGCTATTGTTTCATATACTGTGTGCGCGTTGGCCCCGTCGTGCTGAAAATAGACTTCGTCTATATACGCACACATATACATTTTTAATTTCAGGTTAAAAGAAGCCGGTCTACATCATTCGGTAATGCCGTCTAGTCATTGTAACTATCGAAACAGAAGCATTTTCTAAAGTTTGGCAAAAACCCGTACCAAATTGGCACTCAGTTTTGGCTAATTCGTTGAAAAAGTTACTGATTTGTTCGCGCATTTTCAGCAACTACAATAAGTTTTAGACGAATTCTAGCATTTACTTATCGAATGTCACTACAGCCACAGTTATATGTTGGCAGTGCAAAAAAAAGAGCGAAATTTATAATGACAGCCTTTCTTTAAAGACACTACACTTGTTCAGATCGTACTTTGCCGAAAAGCGCGTCATGTATGCGTCTTAAGATATTTGACTTAACCCTTTGCACTCCGTAGGCGTCGCTATTGCGCCAGTGCTATCAGTGCACTAACTCCGTAGGCGCTGTTATTGCGCCATATGCTTTCATTGCACTAACTCTGTCGGCGCCGCTTTTGCGTAGTTTGCATTCAATGACTAGCGAATTTTGAATTTTATTTTATATTAGATAGATTTGCCCTTGAGAAAACATGGAAGAAGGAGATTATTCGGAAAGTTTTGAGATCACTGAAAACGAAAGTGATAATGAAATTGATATTGAATTTTTTGTAGACAATTCAGTTCAATTCAAAAGGAGAGTTGCTTTCATCACGTATAATCCTAACAAACCTACAAAATGGGGTATAGTAATTTTTGTGCTAGCAGATTCAGAAACGGCTTACGTATACAATATACTTCCGTATTACGGCAGTAAAACTTCTGAACATCTTGTTAGACCTGATTTACCAATAAGCATAAGAATTCCGTTACATCTTTTTCAAAAAATAATAGATAAAATACCTACCGCAGAGAGATACCACCTGTACACAGACAGGTATTACACCAGCCTACCCTTAACTAAGGAATTAATGCAAATGAAATGCCACCTAACTGGTACTATTCAAACCAATAGAAAAGATGTTCCTGCTACTATAAAAAATCCAAAATTTTTAAATAGAACAACTGTTGCTAAAAGAAAAGGAAATATAACACTGTTAGCTTGGAAGGATAAAAGGGTTGTTACTTTATTGAATACCTGGAATAATACTGGAATGACATCTACCAAGAGATATATTCGATTTGGATCAGAAGTAATAGTCAGTAAACCTAACGTTGTGCTTGACTACACACATTCAAAGGGTGGTGTAAATCGGGCTGATCAATATAGATCAACTTATTGCTTCCTAAGAAAATCTCTTAAGTAATGGCGGAAGTTCATTTTTCAGATGCTCCAACGCAAAAATGTCACGGAGTTGTCGCACTTTTGAGTAAAAAAACACTGGGAGTGCAAAGGGTTAAAAATAATATAGTATGATAGTAGTAGCAGCGTTCATCTTTACCATTAAGGTTACCGGTTGCCTTGAAATGATAAACTTCATTGTGTTTATTTTGACATATGTTGTGAAGAGAGGAAAGGCTCTCTTACCTTTTGCTGTTTGCTCATCTATTTATGACTAAAATATTTTATTTATCAACTCCGTTATGGTTAAGTGCCAGTTTTATAATTGTTTAAATATAATCATTGCAAGTGGTTGTCAGTTAGTTTGTCATAATTATCTATTCTTGATTACTACGAATGTAAGGATGAATAATATAAACAAGTAAAATTGAGTTCATTAACTGAAATTTATCTGCTATTGTTATCTAAGTAAAAAATTGAAAATAATTTGTGAAATGTTTACAAATTCACATACGGTTCACATTTCAAAGGTACCACTATATAGTAATTAAGTGTCGATATTTGAAATCTGAACAATTATAAACATCTGTATGAAAATATTATGGATAGAATTAAATGCACGAAACGTGAACTGTACGTATATACATTTTCAATTTACCTATAAATAAAATACGTACATAAATATATACATATATATTTATAATATATTTACATACTACTGTGATCAAAAAGTAAGATGAATTTTGAATTTAATCTTCGCGGATGCTATGGCGTACGACCTTTATGTCGATAAGTTTGATCGCTGCAGAGTAATATGTGTTTTTGCAAACAGAAGAAAAGTCAGTTTTTCGATTTTCGTTGTGTCCGATTTTGTCGAACAAAACCTTTGCAGTAAATTTTGTTTGCGAAATAATTATTCTGGTGTGGATGTATTGAGGATATTATTGCAGACGTTTGATGATGAAAGATGTTCAAAAATGATACAAAGACTTCAAATTAGAGCGAGAACGGGTTCAACAAGAACAAGGCCCCGGACCGCTATTAACAGCTGTCGATGAAAGATACTTTAAGGAAGTCATAGGTAATGATGCCCAAAAATCATCCCTTGACGATTCATCAAATTCAACTTATTTTTTGATCTTATCTATGTGTATCACTTCGTTATTCATAAGCAAATACGCAGCTTACAGTTTTCGCATTGGGAATAAATTTCAATAAACATTCGAAGAGCAAGACAGAAATTCCCTACAAGAATGCATTTTATTTATCATATATTTGCTAACGATATACGATGACATATAAATGTTTTGTCTATGTCACTTTGCCTCAATTGGTGTAATTTGTTAAACAAATACAAGGACCGAGTGAAAGCTTAATACAACAAGAGTAGAAATAAGAACAAAAACTGCACGAATAATTCGTACTAATATCATAGGCTTAAATATCGATTGAAATTCTCTTGTGTGTAAGCTAAACGAGAATGTGAATATGAAATCATGTTTCAATGAAGGTAAATGTAGATGCAAAACATCGTTGGTATGTAAGTGTAAAGAATATTTTCAAGCAAGAACTTACCTCATATACGGCTCCTAAGGGCATTACAAGACATGCGACAAACAAATCGGCGACAGCTAAGGATGCTACCAAATAATTAGCAACATTCTGCAAATTTCTCTCCAAGATGATGGCAGCAATCACAAATACGTTGCCTGCATAAACAGGAATGCATTGTTGTTGTTTTCGTTGTTTTGTCACATGAAATATTAAAGAGAAATGAAAAGAACATGAAATGAAAGCAAAGCAAAACATATCATCTAATATGTGATTGAAAAGGGTTGTATTTTATAAATCACAAATGTAATCGTTAGTCAATTATAATCATGTGTTTTGTGTGTAAGTTTTACATCTCTGATGTGTTTGCTCGGCTTGCAGACTTTTAAATTAACCTCTGGACGCAAGCGTGTGCGCCCTTAGCCACATAAGTGAATGTTTATTTGAATCGATTTGAGCACGTCCGCCAGTTCATCTGTCCGCCTGTGCAATGTGTGCTGTACACATTCTCCTGGCCACAAAAGTGAAGCTATCTACTTCAAATTTGGCAGGAACGCCTCAATTGGACAAGACACAGCAACACACCAATACCACGTAACCTGAGAGTACCTACACTTTTTAAAAGGAATAAAAAGTTGGTTTGTTCATTACTCATAATCTATAGCAGCTAAATATTCCATGGGCGGTGGCGTAGCACCCCTACAAAAAAAAAAAAATTGGTTACGCCTATCCAATTACGTCTATTCAATACTTTTATTTGAAGTAAGCTTCAAAAACACGATAAGATTAATACATTCTTAGTCAATTTCCAATTTAGAATGGCGCTAAGCCATAAGTCCATATGTCTGTCCATGCGCCAATGTAGAATCTGTGGTGAACGGTCTCCTGTTCGCAAAAACTAAGATATCGCATAAAAATTTGCAAAAGAATTTGGTAGTGACTTTTGAAAAGGTACGCGTACCACGCTTACGCTTGTATACGACGAAAAAATTTAGTTATTTTCCTTTTTTATATTGTTTTTTAGGATAACATTGATGGGCACATAAGACTCGGTCGCGAAGGAATATAGTTTTCTTGCTTGTGTTATGTTGCAATTACTATCGTCGATAAGAAGCACAATTTGCGCTTACCGATAGAGCTGTGCTCGTGCGATAATTTTCTATGCACTTTTTATGTATGACGTTGGCTTTATGCGAATTATTTTGTGTGTGTGACTTATTTTGTCCAACTTTTTCTATGCCATGTATAGAGATAGAGCGAGAAAGCAAGACCACGTGCGTTTTGAATTACGACAAGTCGTATTGATTTACGTGTATTTTACAAAACATCTCATGTTTAAAGCCTGAGATTACACTTTTTTTTATCATGTTTTCATGCCTTATTTAACTATTCACTTTATTTAGGAAACACTTTGTCGCTACTTTGAAAAACTTTCTAAGCAAGATTCTTTTTATGTGATCCCTCTTCTCTCCAAAAAATGTAAAATGGATTGCTGCGGTTATTTATGATATTTCTGAACAACACAAAACCCGACTTAACTGTAAATTAATCCTCACACACTTTCCTAATAAGAACTATATCAACTTTATTGAATAGGCCGCACTTGTAAAGGTATTTGCGATATACGATTAAAAATATAAAAATTTTGTAAAAAGAGTAGAGAGCGGCTGCTGAATAGGTTAAGTATAATCAATGATCAGACTTCCCTCTAGAATAGCAAACTAAGTATTCTATATACACTTTTGAACATTTTTTTTATAAAGAGAGTGACATGTCCTTTGCTAATATATATTTTGATACCTTACACCCCTTGGGCTACGAAGTTTGTTCGGATGTTTATAACATCTAGAAGGACTGATGTCTATTTATGTATTCCAATTCAAATCGTAACTTTTAGGATATTTTGATGAAATACTGAACGGTCTAGATCCAAGGACTAACCAGGTGAAAAATGGGTTAGATCTGACCCGCTTTTTGGCCGCTCTCCATACAATTCCTAATTTTGGAAGATCGTTAAATCAAAAATATGTGTTTTTTAAAAGTCCTCGACAAAATCACATTTCGGCGTTCAAGGTTGATGTGAAAAATTTGGATAATGCTACTTTCTTTAAACCTCCGACAATATAACTTTTCCTACGAAAGCTGAATCTTTCTACGCCACTTTTAACGTTTCCTTCACAATTTTTTTAATGAAAGTGGGTCCATAATAGTAATTTGACATGAAAACGAGCTGGACCCAATGTGAGCTACATGGATCTGTTTCATGGACGGCATTCTCTGCACACATTCGCCTTTCGGCAAGAAAGTTTAAATTTGACTCTTTTGTGATGAAAACTGACTCACAACACGATTTGGCCTAAAAATCAAACATAGGAAATTTGCATCGCATAGGTTCATTTTTTTGACGTCATTATATACAACGGTTTTCATGAAATGTGATAGTTTAAAAAAAAATTAAATTTTCTAAATTTGGATTGCATTGGTTGATGTTTTGTTCACCCTCCAAGAGTCTAATGTAGCCCTTCACATGAAAACAGTGTGAAATTTTCAGTGTTTTATCACAAAAATGATATATTAAGCAGCATCTTGCAAGGTATTCAATGATCGAACTTGCCTAATCTAAACTTGCCTGTTTAGTTGGTAAAGTCCTTTTTTGTAGGGGTGCCGTATTCACTTTTACTGGCCTTAGCGTCATGTAGTGAAGTGGCCTATTTTTCTTCTAAATATGTCAACACACTGAAATGAATTCTTTTTAAGAAGGTTTTGAATCGCTACCGTTCAAGGATATTTTATGAGCGCCAATGTCGTTTTAGTTTTATGAATACGTGAACTAATAAACGTTTTGCTCCTAAATTATGCTTAGCAAAGGTAGAATTCTTAGACAGCGTACTTTATTTGTTTCACCTCATGTAGGCGTCTGCATGAGATGTTGTATATGCGATTTGAAGTGTTCGTAGTGTTTTTCTTTCCGTCCAAGTAGCAGAAAGTGGATGCACCAAGCGCCACGCATTTCCTTACTTTTGTTCCACCCACTTAATCGTTGCAAATATTTCGTTTTTTAATTCTCTGCGTGTTTTGGAAGCTATTGCGGGCACTTTAAAGTAAATCTTAGCTTTGACGCGTGAATATCAGGTAGACCGAATAAGTCTACTAACAATGTCAATTCTTGATGCGTTAACATCTGTTGCGGTAGTAGCAGGGGTATGTACGGTGATGATCAGGAAGATTTATAGACAGGGAGAGAGAAAAGAGAGGAACTGAATTTATATTCGTTCGATTAGGAAGTGGAAAGGTGTAGGTTGCTAAGAAAGACCACTGCTGGTAAGTTATTTTAGAGACGAGCAGTGCATTTGGAGAAGGATGAGATGCATCTTTGTTAGATATTGTAAGAATGACAATATTTACCATTCAATTCGGCGAAGCTCCCTCCCGTAGGAAGACATCAAAATATTTCTTTTATAATATCATTTGAAAGACGAGGATTAATTTAAAAGTATCGAAAGAATGTCTAAAAAGAAACTTAGGTTTCCGTTCCGTTGAAATTGGGTTCTGGAAAAAGACATAATAATTACTTTCGAGAATCTTTACTTTGCGTCCAAGCGCATCTGATGAAGAGTTATGGATTATTAATAATAATTAAAACGATTCTTTTGCTATTGTTAAAATTAATATTGCGTAGACAATTTTTGACAAAATTTATTCGATAACTGAAAACACTTGAGATGAAATTTTCAAAAACTACTTTGATGTGCTGAATACACAAACAAGTAAACTATTTAAGTTGCTTTAATTAGATTTTTTAACAGCTAGCTATTATGTATTTGCTCTTTTTCCGGATGTTGTTAAACTAATTACGTTCTTAATTGCGTAAATTGGCTATATTTTTTTTTAAGTTTTAACAAGAAATTAATGAGTAGAAAGAAACGTTTCAATAAATTCATTAAGATTTCAAAATTAACGAAGAAATTTTTTTCCTTTTTTTCCTTCTCTCAATTGACATAAGTTTTTAATTAGTAAGAAACAACTACGTTTGATGAAAGATTCTTGGATATTTATCTTTAATGGCAAATTTGTGAAATTGCAACGATATTTGCTAATTGGACGAATATTAAATCTTGGAAGTCTTAAGAGACTCCGGCAATTGCTTACGTTACACTTTAAATGTTAATGCTAGAAGTATTTTAAAACTTTCATCTTTCAAGTTTTGCCTGAGTCGCTGAGTACGCAAAGGACCTCGACTAACAATTCTATAGTCGCGAGTTCAAATCAAGTGCGGTAAAATGTTCGATAAATCCGGTAGCTTTAGATGAATACTAGTGCTTTACAACTTTACCCTTAAAATTTGTTCCACCGGCTAAATTAATTATAATAAAAATAATTTTTTTCTTGTTAGAAATTCCAGAAATTTCAATTTTTTACTGTTTAAATTGATCATGATTAGTGTACAGTATAGATTTGTCTCCAAGTTTTCAGTTTTTACATCTTAATTATTCTAACAATAAGACATTGAACAACATAGGGATGAAGATGTAAGAGACATTTATCTAAGTGAACTTATATTACATCGCCTATTGCCAAACTAAGTAAGGCCTGGTCAACAAAAAAATTTTTTACAATTTCTACATTTTGGGTGGCGCAAACCGAAGACAGAAAAGGCTATGAGATAGAGTTGTGTATTAAGTTAACAGTATTTTATTCATATTTATCAGGCCGTTAATGCGTGGTTCGCCTGGAAGAGGATACGTCATTCTCAGAATATGAGAATACCAAGACAAAAACATGTGCGGGAACGAAAATCGCTGAAATTTTGGCTAGCACTTATCACCGCCAGTATAAACATATAACACACATGCCCTAGCTTTTGCGGACGAATATTGGCGTTTTCGTGAATAGGTTGAAAACATTTTAGACAAAAAATATATGTTGTTTAAGATACCCGTCTGATTTTTCTGTTAGATAAGAGGGATAAACCCCCTTTTTCCCACGAGCTTGCTTTATATTTTCCTTTATTATTGCTTTTTCAATTTGTGCTTGAAGCTAAGCAAAGAAGATCGGGGCTTTTTGTATCTACGAGAACTCACACGGTAGTCCAATGCCTTCAAGAATCCGAATCAATCGACTTGGAACCTTAAGTTGCTCGAAGACATTTTTATTTTAT